GCAGCACCACCACCTTCCAGTTAAACTTTGGTTAACTGGGAATGTCCCTGGGCATCCCATACCACCGATGGGTCCCACACCATTGTTTTTACCTTCCAAGATAAGAACCGCCTCCAAAGACCAACAATCCGCCCAGGAACCAACATAACCCCCCTTTACCTGGAGGGACCCCATACTCACCAAAACAGGAAGGGCGGGAGGGAAGCTCTCACCTGACGTCCAGCTCCAACTGACGCCCCCTCACTGAAACCCCCCACCCTAAGGTACAGGAAACCCCACCTACTCTCAACCTTCCACCAACCACATACCCCCACTAACAAAACCGAACCCCTTGGATCTGCCTTAACCCTTTCTGTTCCTCCTTCCCCACTCTGGGCCTAGTCATGTATGCCCTGCGCCATTTCTTCTTTCTTTTTGCTACGGGCATTTCTTGACCTGGAGGAATGAGAACCTTCACTCACATGCTTTAGTGATGAATGCATCATATATGTCATCTTTATTATTCCCAGGACTCCACTTTACCATGCAGAAAATAAATGTAAACTCATAATGTATAGAAGTGTAATTTACTGCCAGAGCGGCTTTTGTCTCCTCTCCGCGCAAGCAAAACAAACATTTTAAATAACAATCATTCCGATATTATCATGACATTGTTTATTCCTCGGAGATAACATTTTATTTACTGCTCTCTCTCCAATCAGCACAATGATCGGAGTTAAGTGGCGATGGCAGGACGCGGAGCCTGCGGTGCTCCTTTACAATGTGCTCAGCTTCTCTCTGCGTCGGGGATTAAGGTGAAGCAATATGAAACCTTTCCTAGCAGGTTCTATAATCCCATCGTACATTTCCAGCCGCTGGTGAATCAGGTACATTCAGTGCTGCTTATTTATCATTTATTTGGTGATTTACCCGGGGGCTATTCATAAAAAAGACAAAACACAGATAAAAGGAAATATTTCATGCAGGTGTATAGGCCCTCCATGGAATGGCGTTGGCGCCTGTGTTTTACTACAGTTACATACAGTATATGTCTCAGGTTGTACAGCATCTTTAAGGAAGCATAGGCCATTACACTAAATATGGTGTAAAAGTGGATCTTTACTGGATTAAAAGGTGTGTAGAATGTTAAACAGGTTCAAAGGCACAGTTGAAACCAGTCAATCTATCCATACACGTGCATACATAAGCAATCAATCCTATATATTTACCCCAGTTTGGGCATATAACCAGGGCTGCTGTTAGAAACCACGGGGCCCCATGCAGCCAACCTGACGGGACCCCCTTCCCCCCCAAAAAAAACACAGTTTACTATGCTTCAGTTATGAATAAACACAGTGAGTGATCGGTACCAATCACATATTGGGTTCATTCAAGAAAGGGAGGAGCTGGTAAATGTGATATATTTACCTGGCCCATCACCCACTCTCCATCCTGAAGGATCCTATCATGCACTTGCAGCTTCTAGTGGGAAGAAGAGGAGGGAACCCATCAGCATCGCGGGGGTGGCCTGGGCAGCAGGGGGAAATGTATGGTGCACAGGGAGGGTGATGGGTGTAGCGGAGGGGTAATTACTGAAACCAATCCCTTGTATGGCTCTATGTGCAGCAGCTAAAAGCCAGCAGGAGGGAGAGGAGAAAAAGACTGCGTTCAGCTGCTGCAGGGAGAGCCATACAGGGGATATGTTCCAGTAATTTCCCCCCCTCCACTGTGCCAATCACCCTCTCTGCCCACATCTGATCCACCTATCTGCCTGGGCCCCATCAGGATCCCCTATTTTACTGCAGGTTCTATAATCCCCCTTGCTGGCCTGGGCCCCATTTACAGGATTTACCCGGGGGCTGGATGGTACCAGGTGTATAGGCCCTCCATGGAATGGCGTTTTACTACAGTTACATACAGTATATGTCTCAGGTTGTACAGCATCTTTAAGGAAGCATAGGCCATTACACTAAATATGGTGTAAAAGGGGATCTTTACTGGATTAAAAGGTGTGTAGAATGTTAAACAGGTTCAAAGGCACAGTTGAAACCAGTCAGTCAATCCATACACGTGCATACATAAGCAATCAATCCTATATATTTACCCCAGTTTGGGCATATAACCAAAGTTGCTGTTAGAAACCACGGGGCCCCATACAGCCAACCTGACAGGACCCCCCCCCAAAAAAAAAACAGTTTACTATGCTTCAGTTAGAACTAATGGCACCAGCCCGCGGGTCGGCAATTCCCTGTGCGGGTGGTGTGGCTGCATGGATTTTTGTGCGGATCCGCAGCGGCACCACCTGCACAGATGTGAACCTAGAGTTAGACATTGGTCCATCTGGCCAGTATAGCCACCTGCTGAACAAGCGCTCTCCCCAGACAGCTCAACTCTCCAATAAGACATGGCAGGCAAGTCCAACATAATTCTACTTGTTAAAATGCTGTACATGGGATGTTCAAAGGTCATTTGAAGTGTAAAGCGACAATAATGTTCCAAGTCTTGATCACGCTATGAAGACTGGTAACTAACCGAGGGAACAAGAAGAAGAAGAAGGGAGGGGTCTCTCCAACTAGCCCTGACATACAGGTAGACTGGAGTATACCATTTTACAGACCTTAAATTACAAGTTGTAGTTACCATGCTTGTGGACTATCAAGATCTTGTCATGGTTTAGCTTGTGTTTACCTGCCTATGCCATTCTTACCACATGTTTTGTTGGTGTCTGTGTTTACCAATGGGCGTCACCCGCTCTCCCGTGGATTTATATCCCTTTCCCTTCTATCATTTCTTGGCACCCCTCCCAGTCTGCCTCCCTATATAAGATATCCTCAGACCGGTTGCATTGCCTGAGCAACTTCCTAGTTCTCTGAACTCAAGGTTTGCCTTGTATTACTGCAGTACAGCAGATCCTTAGAGTCCTGGAACTTCTGGGTGACTCTGAATGTTACCTGTGAGCACTGTGGGTACCACAGATCCTAAGAGTCCTGGAACTCCTGGAAGACTTGGAATGGTTCCTGTGAGTACTGTCAGTACCACAGATACTAAGGGTCCTGGAACTCCTGGAAGACTTGGAATGGTTCCTGTGAGTACTGTGAATATTACAGATCCTATGAGTCCTGGAACTCCTGGAAGACTCGGAAAGGTTCCTGTGAGTACTGGGGGTACCACAGATCCTAAGAGTCCTGGAAGTCCTGGAAGACTCAGAATGGTTCCTGTGAGTACTGGAGATCCTAGGAGTCCTGGAACTCCTGAAAGACTCAGAATTGTTCCTATGAGTACTACTGATCCTAAGGGTCCTGGAACTCCTGGAAGACTTGGAATGGTTCCTGTGAGTTCTGTGAGTACTACAAATCCTAAGAGTTCTGGAACTCCTGGAAGACTCAGAATGGTTCCTGTGAGTACTATAAGTACTACAGATCCTAAGGGTCTTGGAACTCCTGAAAGACTCAGAATGGTTCCTGTGAGTACTGTAAGTACCACAGATTCTAAGAGTCCTGGAACTCCTGGAAGTCTTGGAATGGTTCCTGTGAGTACAGTGAGTACCTGTCAGGAATGGACTTGCCAGTAATGGTGGGACTCACCTGCCTTGTGGGCTGCAGTACCAGGGCTGGCCAGCGGGTGCTCTCAGCAATCAGAGACTCAACCCTGTAGTCAGCCAAACACCTGAAGCTGATCATGCAGGTGTATTTAAGGGATGGCCAGACCTGCAGTCTGTGCCTTGGTGTGTGCTTTTCTATGGGCCCCTGTTCCTGTCTGACTGATTTGTTGCTGACCCTGCCTGATCCCGACCTCTGCTGACTTCTCCTGTTTGATCCCTGGCTTGTGACCCCGACCACTCTCTGCCTGACCCCTTGTACCTACCTGCCCGTTAGTTGCTGTACCCGGCTCGTGACCTGACTACTCTCTGCCTGCTCCTCCTGTTCCTACCTGCCCGATTGTTATTGACCCGGCCTGCCTGACGACGCTTGCTTTGTATGTACTGTTATCTGTGGGTGGTTTGGTTTGGTTCGTTTGCACTGTGTTATGTTTTAGTATTGCACTGCGATTATGTATTGTTAGTGTTAATAAATTATTATTGTTTATATCATATCTGAAGCCTGCGTTTCCCTGCGTCAGTCACATACCTCTGGTCATACCCTGGAGCCCTGACATTACACCAAGGCCAATCCTGACCAGAAGTGGCTGCACAGGGAAGCCATCTTGGCTTATTGTTGCTGGGAAGGATGGATCTTGATGAGGTTGTGTATTTATCTCTGCTAGTGTTTGATGACAGGGAGTATGCTTATCAAACTCTGAAGGAGTATACCCGGGATGAACTGCTAGAATGTATACGGATCGCTCATGTTCTAGTAGATCAGGGCACAGAGTTCTCTGAGGTGCAGCCATTGATTCAGGTTTGTGCTGAGTTGGTTTCATCTGGTACCCCCGAATGCAGGGATGAATTTTTGCCGCCATTTAGTGCCGACCAGGTAGAGTCCCTGGTATGGTTATTAGAGGATGATGTGGGTTACTTTCTGGAGCGTTATTCTGCATGTTCACCACAGGTACTAAGAGATTGTATAAACGCAGTGCAGTCTTTGGTCAGACAGGCTTTGTGTAAGCTGAGCTTTGTTCAACCCATACTGCAGACATGGACAGATTTGTTGCACCCAGCCTCAGTCAGCTTACAACATCATTCCTCCACTCAAGGCACTCTTCCTGCATCCCCGACAGCACCCCCAGTGACTGCCCAGTATACTCTAACTACCACATACCAGTCCTCTGCTCCCACTCGCTGCACCTATCCTTTCTTTAACCCTGTAAAGAAGTCCTCTGTAGCAACTGCTCCCTCCTCTGTTCCATCTTCCAGCTCTTCTCTGTCCTCAGCTGCTACATTCGTTTGCAGACCTGCGTTTACTTGCAGTGCCCCAGTAGTTAAAACCAGAAAAAAGCGGAAATTCTTTCCAACCAGTACCATCCTGCCAGTATCCAAACCGGTGAACCTGCCGTCTGAGAACCTGCCTTCCGTGGTTCAGCCTGGTGCCTCGGCACCCACACTTCAGCCTGATGTCTCTACCCAGCCTGATGTCTCTACCCAGCCTGATGAACTGATCCAGCCTGATGACCCTATCATACCTGATGACCCAGTGCCCGCTGTCGAGCCAGACGATCCGGTACCTGATGACCCGGTGCCCACTGTCAAGCCTGGTGACCCGATGCCCGCTGTCGAACCAGACGATCCAGCGCCAGATGACCCGGTGCCCGCTGTCGATCCAGACGATCCGGTACCTGATGACCCAGTGCCTGCTGTCATGCCTGGTGACCCGATGCCCGCTGTCGAGCCAGACGATCCAATGCCTGATGACCCAGTGCCCGCTGTCATGCCTGGTGACCCGATGCCCGCTGTCGAGCCAGATGATCCAGCGCCAGATGACCCGGGGCCTGCTGTCGAGCCAAATGACCTGATGCCTGGTGACCCGATGCCCGCTGTCCAGCCAGACGATCCAATGTCTGACCCAGTGCCCGCGGTCATGCCAGTTGACTCGGAGCCCACTGTCGTGCCTGGTGACTCGGTGCCCACTGCCTTGCCAGATGACGCGGTGCCCACTGGGGAGCCAAATGACCTGATGCCTGGGGGCCCGGTGCCCGCTGTCGTGCCTGGGGGCCCAGTGCCTGTCGCCCCGCCTGGGGGCCCGGTGCCCGTCGCTCCGCCTGGGGGCCCGGTGCCCGTCGCCCCGCCTGGGGGCCCGGTGCCCGTCGCCCCGCCTGGGGGCCCGGTGCCCGTCGCCCCGCCTGGGGGCCCGGTGCCCGTCGCCCCGCCTGGGGGCCCGGTGCCCGTCGCCCCGCCTGGGGGCCCGGTGCCCGCCGCTCCGCCTGGGGGCCCGGTGCCCGTCGCCCCGCCTGGGGGCCCGGTACCTGTCACCCCACCTCGGGGGCCCGGTGCCCGTCGCTCCGCTTGGGGGCCCGGTGCCCGTCGCTCCGCTTGGGGGCCCGGCGCCTGCCGCTCCTCCTGGGGGCACTGTGCCTACCGCTCCTCATGGGCGCCCTGTGCCGCTGCCCGGAGTCCAGCCCGATGTGCCGCTGCCCGGAGTCCAGCCCGATGTGCCGCTGCCCGGAGTCCAGCCCGATGTGCCGCTGCCCGGAGTCCAGCCCGATGTGCCGCTGCCCGGAGTCCAGCCCGATGTGCCGCTGCCCGGAGTCCAGCCCGATGTGCCGCTGCCCGGAGTCCAGCCCGATGTGCCGCTGCCCGGAGTCCAGCCCGATGTGCCGCTGCCCGGAGTCCAGCCCGATGTGCCAGTCTTTGATATCCCGCCAGTTACCAGACTCGGGTGGTGGAACATTTTGCTCAGCTAGGACTGTTTGGAGCGTCCTGAGGCCGCTCCTTGAGGGGGGGGGTACTGTCAGGAATGGACTTGCCAGTAATGGTGGGACTCACCTGCCTTGTGGGCTGCAGTACCAGGGCTGGCCAGCGGGTGCTCTCAGCAATCAGAGACTCAACCCTGTAGTCAGCCAAACAACTGAAGCTGATTATGCAGGTGTATTTAAGGGATGGCCAGACCTGCAGTCTGTGCCTTGGTGTGTGCTTTTCTATGGGCCCCTGTTCCTGTTCCTGTCTGACTGATTCGTTGCTGACCCTGCCTGATCCGGACCTCTGCTGACTTCTCCTGTTTGATCCCTGGCTTGTGACCCCGACCACTCTCTGCCTGACCCCCTGTACCTACCTGCCCGTTAGTTGCTGTACCCGGCTCGTGACCTGTCTACTCTCTGCCTGCTCCTCCTGTTCCTACCTGCCCGATTGTTATTGACCCGGCCTGCCTGACGACGCTTGCATTGTATGTATTGTTATCTGTGGGTGGTTTGGTTTGTTTGCACTGTGTTATGTTTTAGTATTGCACTGCGTTTATGTATTGTTAGTGTTAATAAATTATATTGTTTATAACATATCTGAAGCCTGCGTTTCCCTGCGTCAGTTCACATACCTCTGGTCATACCCTGGAGCCCTGACAGTACCACAGATCCTTAGAGTACTGGAGCTCCTGGAAGACTTGGAATGGTTCCTGTGAGTTCTGTGAGTACTACAAATCCTAAGAGTTCTGGAACTCCTGGAAGACTCAGAATGGTTCCTGTGAGTACTATAAGTACTACAGATCCTAAGGGTCCTGGAACTCCTAAAAGACTCAGAATGGTTCCTGTGAGAACTGTAAGTACCACAGATCCTAAGAGTCCTGGAACTCCTGGAAGTCTTGGAATGGTTCCTGTGAGTACTGTGAGTACTACAGCTACTAAGGGTCCTGGAACTCCTGGAAGACTCGGAATGGTATCTGTGAGTACTGTAAGTACTGGAGATCTCAGGAGTCTTGGAACTCCTAAAAGACCTGGTATGGATCTTATGAGCACAGTAACACCTTCATAGATGCATTAGAGTGAAAACGTTTTGTCCCCTTTGGACAGGAGGGTGTAAGTTGCAGGAACACCAGGTGAAAATAAAGAGAAAAAAACTGCAATATAATGATTTTCTGCTCTTGGTTTAGATTCACTTTTAGAAGGAATTTGTGCAGCGCCAAAGTGAAGAATCCCCTGACCGGGATGAGGGACTGATGGCAAGGTGATTGATGGTCTTGCATGGAGCCCCCAAGCATGCAGCTTCTTGGAACCCCTAATAAAAGGAACGTCCTCAGGGGTGACTTTGTATGAAGAATGTGTCAGGTCACCGTGTCCATGTACAAAGCTTCCTGGTCATTCCTCATACAGACATTTATCATGTGTAATCAGCGTGATGGCCTTGAGGGGCTTCTTCAGATTTATGAGTCTTCCACAAAGACGGTCCATTTCTCTGGTCTCTCCTGTATATCACCGAAACTTTACTGGAGAAACCTTACTGATCACTGCTCTGCTGGATTAGATGTTTAGTGTACAATAGACTTTGGAACAGTAACTATTTCTGTCAAATGTTTGGGAAATGTTATCCTGCTTCCTGTTTGTGTGACAACCTTAGACAGCAAGACAAGAAACATGGTTGTCTTCACACAAAGTCACCCCCGAGGACATTCCTTTTATTAGGGGTTCCAAAAAGCTGCAAGCTTGGGGGCTCCATGTAAGACCATCAATCACCATGCCATCAGTCCCTCCTGTGACAACCTTAGCAGGACAAGAAACATGGGGAGTGGTTGTCACTAAGAAAGTAAAAATAACCAGAGGTTCTAGCCCATCTATGTTTCTGGGGAAAACGTGTTTTCTTGCAGCAGATATCCCCATATTTGGTCATGAAAAAAGCAAAATGTCCTCAACAAGGTGAAATAAAAACTTTCTTCTTTAATGTATGCAAGGAGTAAAATATTCCATAGAGCAGGCTATGAATAAGGTCTTTTGACTGAAACTCGTTAATGTTGGTTGCTCTATGGAATATTTTACTTCTTGCATACAATAAAGTTTTTATTTCACACGTTTTCCCCAGAAACATAGATGGGTTAGAACCTCTGGTTATTTTTACTCTCTTTAACTCTAACCCTAACCCCAATGCTAACCCTAACCCCAACTTTAACTCTAACCCCAACTTTAACTCTAACCCTAATTCTAAACTCTAACCCTAACCCCAACTTTAACTCTAACCCTAACCCCAACTTTAACTCTAACCCTAATTCTAACCCTAACCCCAACTCTAACCCTAACCCCAACTGTAACCCCCCAATGCCAACCCTTAACTCTAACCCCAATGCTAACCACAACTCTAACCCCAACTCTAACCCCAACTCTAACTCTAACCCTAATGCTAACCCCAACTATAACCCCAATGCTAACCCCAACTCTAACCCCAATGCCAACCCTTAACTCTAACCCCAATGCTAACCACAACTCTAACCCCAACTCTAACCCCAATGCCAACCTCTAACCCCAATGCTAACCCTAACTCTAACTCCAATGCTAACTCTAACTCTAACCCCAACTCTAACTCCAATGCTAACTCTAACCCCAACTCTAACCCTAACCCAATGCTAACCCCAACTCTAACTCCCACTCTAACGCTATCCCTAACTCTGACCCCAACTCTAACTCTAACCCCAACTCTAACCCTATTTCTAACCCTAACTCTAACCCTAACGATATCCCTAACTCTAACCCCACCTATAACTCTAACCCTAACCCCAACTCTAACCCTAACTCTAACCCTAACCCCCAACCACAAAATGAGGCAAAAACACGTGTTCAAAAACGCAAAATGCACCACAAAACACTCCGGAAAAACACATCAATACTAACCCAAATGCTAAACCTAACACCAATCCTAACTCTAAGCCTAGTGCTAACACTAATGCTCCTGCCAATTGTGCCAGTAATCCTAATGCTGTCCCCAATACTGTTATGATGGTCACATGGCTTTGCTGATAAAGGATACAGTAGGTGTTAGGATAAGGCCCCTTTCACATGGGCGATTTTTCAGGTGGACCAGATCAGATGGTTCATGTACAGTATCTTTATGGACTGGGGGGGGGGGGGGGGGGTATAAATGAACTTATGTCTGTTTAAACCCACCTACCCCCAATCCGATACAATTTAAAAAAAATGGAAGGGGATTTGTTCCTCTTGAGTCTAGGGCAGTGGTGGGCAACCTTTTTTTTCAACTGAGCCAAATCTCGCCAAAACCACGATTGAAATTTATTTTGAGAGCCACATTTTTAAAACTGAAAATACATCCCCCATATAGTAATTCATCCCCCATAGTAATTCATCCCCCATATAGTAATTCATCCCCCATATAGTAATTCATCCCCCCTATAGTAATTCATCCCCCCTATAGTAATTCATCCTCCCTATAGTAATTCATCCCCCATATAGTAATTCATCCTCCATATAGTAATTCATAGTAATTCCCTCCATATAGTAATTCATCCCCCATAGTAATTCATCCCCCATATAGTAATTCATCCCCCATATAGTAATTCATCCCCCATAGTAATTCATCCCCCATAGTAATTCATCCCCCATATAGTAATTCATCCCCCATATAGTAATTCATCCCCCCTATAGTAATTCATCCCCCCTATAGTAATTCATCCCCCCTATAGTAATTCATTCCCCATATTGTGTCAATTCACTTACCTTTGCTCCGCACGTTCCTCTCGCCGTGTTCCCGCGCAGTTCCGGTCTTCAGGGCGGACTGTGAGAGGAGATGAGTTCGTCACGCTGCCCCGCCTACATCCTGACAGCCAATGTTTGCCACGCTCCGCGGGCCGGATTAAAAGGTCCTCCGGGCCGTAGTTTGCCCATTGCTGGGCTAGCTGCAGAGTCCTGACTTTTGTGGCGGCCGCCCGAGAGGAGGGAGGGGGGAGCGGGCGCCCGGCACACAGAAGAGCCGCATTGAAGTATGTAAAGAGCCGCATGTGGCTCGCGAGCCGCGGCTTGCCGACCACTGGTCTAGGGGATCGGACTGGAGGGCAGTCTGGTGTAGCCGGAGACAGCTGGTCCATTTACACCCAACCACCCATAGAGCAGAGTGGGCTGTTTGTGTCCACTTGGCATAAACTGAGCAGACACGGACCTGTCATCCACCTGCTCTGCTCCAATCAGCAGGAGATCTGTCCACTGAGCAAATCGGATTCCGTCCCGTGTGAAAGGGGCCTTAGTGTTAGCGTTAGGGTTAGGATTGGCTTTGTTTACCAACAAAGCTGTTGCTCACCACATTAGTTCTGACTTGGAATTCACACA